ACTGATGTCGCCGAATGCGGCTTTATTTTTTCTTGACTCGCTGTACACAAAATTGAAGCAATGCGAATACTAAATTATTTCCTTGCTTGCCTCAAATGATAAGGGATGAGAGAGAGAGAGAGTCAGAGAAAGAGATAGAGAGAGAGAGTGAGAGAGAGAGAGAAAGAGATGAAGAAATGGCCACGACAAATTGGCCAACTCAATACAGTTGCATTCAGATAGATAGAAATTCTTTAGCATGAATTTGCAATATAATATGATAAATATTTTGTTCGAGTTCAATAAGTCAAGAAAGGTTTTTTGAGCTATGCCAAAAATCAAATACAAAAATTAAATATAAGATATTTGATTTTACGCAAAAGTCTCTAAAGCCAAATATTACTCGGAGTCCTGGTTTTAGTTTAGTTTAATTGACTAAGCTTTAGCAGTCTACGAAATAAAGAATGGAGAAATATAGGACTTAACTAAGACACGATTTAAATATATATTTTCTTAAGACGCTTGAGGATGTTGATCCTTACACTATGAACATTTTTATTGTATTAATAAACTTTTTTTTATCCATTCAGACAAAATATTTGTTATACCGAAGGACCAAATTTTGAAGGAAACTCCTCCGATCTGTCAATGGGCAAATTGAAATTGTAGTAAAAAGTTAATAAATATTAAAAACCTGCTATAAACATAAAACAAAAGCTGGCAAGTGTCTTCAAGTAGTTTGTTTAGCTCCAGTTCATGTTTGTTGACTCTCCTAAATCGTTGATATGTGAAAAAAATGTTGTACCTTTATTTGAATTCCACAACATCAAATACCTTTTGCTCCACTTGCCACAATGGCAAGCCCCATTTTGCAGCCCTGGCTGAGTGAGACGAAAAAAAAAACATAAATAACTTTGCAGTGTTTGTGCCATTTTGGTTGCCACATTTGAATAAAATATGAATAAAAACCGAAATGCATTTAGTTGGGAAAAAGACCAAGAAGGGATTGAGGGTTTGGCGGGTACTTGGAAAGCATCAGTTGTGCATAGGGTTGGGCACATCATTCGTTTAACTCCAGAGTTGCCTCTGTTCCTGCCCCCCTCCCCACACCGCACCGTTTCGGCCAGTTTGTCACCTTTTCGCATTTGAAAAAGTCTCCTCCTTTTCGCTCTCGCATATAGATACGATAATATTTGCATTCAGTTGTGCCTGAAGTCAGCCTTGATGCAGTAGCTTCTTGAGAAAAAGAAATGTTTATTTTTACAGAGGGTCTTATAATTTTGTCTCCAATTGTGTAACACTTTGCAGCACTTCCTTGAAGACACACAGTACCTTACTACTATCCCATGAAGAACATTTCTTAGTTAGAAGGGTTACCATATTTTGGCTGAAAAAAAATCCCAATCAATCATTGAAATAAATATTGCACTATTTTACATTTTAATAACACAAAATGATTTATTAAATCCTTTATTTTTTTTTTTCTATAAATTAAAATTATAAACTTAACGGCTATCAATTAGTTTTCTATAATTTATTTCGCAACTTTAATTAAAAATTTTTTTTTTAACAATCGACTAGTTTTGTCTACATTAAGTAAATAAATATAAACACGTTGGACTCCCTTCTGCAAAGGGTATTTAATCTACAACATGTCAAAGTTTTCTGTTGATCCTTGTTTTTATTTTGTCGTCAAAATGTCAGCGGCAACGGTGGCATAGATGTCCTGGTTATCCTGGGTGTCCTGGTTCTCCCCGTCTGGAGTTCGGTCCTGTGCAGCGTTCGCTTGGCTTAATTTTGGGCTACAGAAATGTGCATAAAAAATCGGCGGCGAATTTGCAATTTGAATTCGACTGTGTTTGCTGTCAGTCCTGCTGCGACGACTCCTGCTCCTGTTCCTGCTCCTGCTAGTGTGCCTCTGTCGCCTTTATTGGGCCCAGAACATGAATTGAGCTTCGCTCTGCTCTCTGCCCTTCCATCTCTCTCTCCCTCTCTCTATATATCTGTCTCTATCTGTCTCTATCTCTCACTCTTTGCCTGCTCCATTTTGGCAGCGTCTTGACAGCCAGTCAGGCGGCTATTTAGGAAGTAATTTTCGCGCTTTCATCGCAACTTCTTTTTTCTTATTTTTTCTTCTCATTTTTTTTTGGTTTTGTGCTTGTCTGTTTATCTGCCTGTCTTTGGCTGCTTTTTGGGCACGTTATTCACGTTAGCCCTGCTATTTGAGCGACTTCCTGCTGCACGCGCCTTTAATGCATTTTTTAAAAGCCAAATGCGCAAATTGAATGCGTCTCATCCCGACATTTCTGCGGTATTCTGGCTAGCTTCTGGCGCACGTCCGCTACCCAGGACACTTCCCAGTATGCCAGTAGTAACCATATTTGTGGCTTGGCCGCAGGACGACACGCAGGCATAATTTCTGCACGCTGCACTCAGGCCTAATGAATATTTCAACAGTAATACTCTCTCTCGTCCGTATACAAATACATAATACACATGCTTTACTCATACTCATCCTCATACTCAGACTCATCCCCAAACTCATCCTCTTTCTCATACATGTGTGTGGATATAGTTCCTTACTGACTGTAGCATCAGTTAAATGTCAAAACTTTGACTTTTTTTTTGCCTCTGAAGTTTAATGATGAAAGTGACGCAGTGACACGAAAACTAAATGCTCTAAATATAACATTTAAAAGAAACAACTAATTCCCCTACCCATTTTCCAAAAAAATCATTTGCGCATTTGTAACCACATTTTGTGGTTGGTATTTAGTTTGGTGTGTTCTTTATTAAGTTTAATTTTTAATTTTCTTAACTTGGCAAAATATTTATAAGAACAACTTTTATCGTATAACAACTTTGAGTTGGTTTTCATTATTTGTTTGCATTTAATTAGATATATAGAATATATGTTCATAATCAGCATAAAAACAATTAATAAAATAAAATAAAATACAATTATTAAAAGTCAGACTACCATATAATATAGTTTCGTTTATATATAGTTTAGTTTATTTTTAATGAAATTTAGATGACAGCAGGCAGACTTCGTCAAAGTGTCTAAACTTCTTTATATAATGGAAAATAATATAGTAATTGCCAAGAGTATGTAACTTAGACCAAAATATATATAGAAATATATATTTTCGATTTGTTCTCGTATTTCATTTGCTTGACGCCAACTTGTAATTAAAATTGCATCCCACGTCAAAAGATGCCCCTGCGTTGGAGTGCTCAGAACAACTGACCCAAAACGAACTCTTTCGCCGCTACTCGAACAACGAATCTCCCCAAGCCCGCCCTTTAATACTCAGCTCTCCCACCCCCTCAAAGCACCCCAGTGACTGGCAACCACAATTTAATCTCTGTGGCATTATGCACCAGCCTCCCCCCACTGCATCCCTTCCCCAAAAATGCTCAATTCACTGAAGAACTGTATGTCTTGAAACCTGCTCAGAGGTCTTTCCCATCGTCTTCTTCTGCCCCAATCCCCTCATTATCACTGTGTGTGTGCGTGTGTGTGTATTATTTTTTTTCTGTGCTCCTTTGTGTTTGTTAATAAACTCGCAGGCAGACTAAATTCAAATTACGCACACATCTTAAGAGAAGGCAACTGAGATGGAGATGGAGACGGACATGGAGATGGCGATGGCGATGACGATGAAGATGGAGATGGAGACTGGGACATAGACGAATACGACGACGCCGACAGTCATTTCACTTATAGGCGGCTCATTATGTCAGGTCTATATTCATATACGCCTCATCCTCCCCCGCCCACATCGCTGCCACCACCACATTTGCCGTATGCGTGAGTGCGTTCGAGAAGCTGCTGCGAGTGGAGCTTCGACTGGATGACTCCGCCTTTTGACTTGGCCCTGTCGTAACATTTCATCTTTATTTCGGCATTATTCCCATGGCAGCGCTTATTGTTTTGCCGTGAAAATGGCAACAGCAACAGCAACGGCAACGGCTACGTCAATGGCAACAAATTAGAAGCGTGCTCAACGCCCGAAACGAACTTAGCAGCAAGCAGCCAGTTGGCCTAGTCTAATTGGGAATAGTAAGCAGTCCGTTCTCTGGGATTTCTAGAGTGCCCTGCCAAACTCCAATTAACAAATGGACACAGGAGTAAGGTAAGCCCACTATGTCCAGAAACTGTACAATTCCCACTACTTTTGGAATGTTTTCGAATGAATTAAGTTATAAAACTGCAATATATCTTAAGATTCCTGAAATTTGAAAACTGAAGTCAGCCAACTTAGGGGATATGCCATTTTTCATCTGGTATTACATTAGCTTTATTTATTTTATTATTAAGCTTGTGGAATGAGGAGCATTAGCCAAAACCCAACAATAATCATCGTTGCGGTTATGTTAATGGTATGTGTCCCAGCTAAAAACCATGATATACATGTATGTATGTATTTTTAGCAAATTTCGTTCCCACTTTCTTGTGGAAGCCATTAATCTAATATCACAACCAATTAAAAGACAAGCAACGCATTGGTTCAAATGGTGCGTGACACAGCTAACTGAGCAGTGTTGCATAATTTACAAACAAAGTAATATAAAAATATCTGAGTAACATTTTTAAAGACATGTATTGTCCTTAAAACTTTAGTTACTTTCGATAAATTATGCTGTTATAACGATTTACGCAGAAAAAACTTTAAGGACTAACAACCATTTTCGATTAGTTAAAGCTCCTGCCTGCTTCTCAGCTTTGCATAGGGTTAATAAAATAATCATTATTATATGCGCAATAAGCAATATATATAATAATAATAATAAAATAAAAGTAATTTGCGAAGCTTGAACAAAATATGAACATTTTTGAATTTAGATCATTTATTAAAATTTGATAAATTTGTTCAATTTTAATTTCTCTAGGATCACCCGAATTGAAGCTTGTATAAAACCAGTATAATAAAAGCCTGTAAAAAAACTTAATTTGAATTTAAAGATTCCCAACAAATCTACAAGGACATCCATTTAAAATACATATTTGTGTTTCATTGCTTTCTTTCTTGTTTATTATTCAGTATAGGCAACGTAATCAAAGGATTCAGCTTTACATAAATTCATCATACAACAGTTGAAACAGTTTTGTTTTTTTTTCCTATTTTTCTTTCATTATTTTTAGTTTATGCATTCCGTTCTGCTTACAATCATTTTGGTATATCCATCAGCCAATTTCTTAACGTTTCGCCAACTATGCAGTTGTGCCTTCAGGCTCGTTTTAAAAGAAAGAAAATGAAATTCTTTGCTTAAACGTTGCAAAATGTGTGTCTTGCGTGTATTGTCAAGTATAAACGGATTAACTGTTGTGGGCACCAGCTCCTGCTACTTCTTGATTCCCCAGACATTGTTGCTGGGCACCGGGACGCGACGCTGACCGGACTCGCGGGCCAGGACATCCATGACGCTAGTGGCGGGCAACCAGCACTGAATACAAAATTAATTACAATCTATTAATTATTTTAAATGGCTTGCTTGTGTGTTACTTACGCGTTCCTTGTGCGCGGTGGCGACCACGTTGCGATTGGGCTCCTTGTCGTAGGAGACGGACTCAACGCCAAACACTTCGCACAGCTCGTGCACCATTTGACGCTTCTCGCGATTCATCGTGGGGAACGAGTGACTGCGCGACTTTTGCTTGCTCTCCTTGGCCAGCTTGACCAGATCGCTGAGCGTTTCGTAGACGCTCTTGGTTAGTACCGGATTGCGTTTGGCAAAGCCGCGCAAGAATTCCGAGTACTTCGTCAGCGACTTCAGCTGCGACTCCGGATTCCGAGACTGCAGTCCAATGGCCAAGCGGCGATTGCGCTCCAGCAGACGACACTCCTCATTGCAGTCCAAACTGTAATGGAACGAGTGGGTTATCAGTATATATATATACATTATACATCAGGCACGATTTGAATTGCAAATAAATTTTTGTTTTTGCTTTAAAAAAATAGCAAAGACTATATACATATATATATATATATAGCGATATATAAAAGGGTATCTCTCTAGTCTTTTCTAACCTTTGATAGCCAATTATATATGTATTTTATGTGTGAACTTACGTTTTGTTGGATTTGTTGTTTTTGGTGGGTGCAAGTATTTCGCTGAGCTCCATGTAATTGCCGCGCGACATCTCCGCCATGGAGGAGGCCAGCTGGGCGGTGGCAATGCGACTGTGCTCCCGGGCAAGTTCCTGGCAGCTGCGGCTCTGCTTGCGATTGCCGCACTCGCACTGCACCTCGACGAGCTCCTTGCACGGCGTCTCTGGACAGGCGCCATCGTGGCAGACAGCGGCACACTTGTGGCCGCACAACAGACGAGGCTTGGTACAGCTCTGACGGCACAGCTCGCCCGGCTGCGGACACTCGCCCTCGTGGCACGGCCGTATGCATTTATGGCGGCCACACGCGAGCGGCTTGGCGCAGGGAAAGCCACAGCTGAAGCTGGCCTGCGAGCAGGGTATCGTCTTGCGCTGCTCGTGATTGCCGTGGCACCACTTCGTGGTGAACATCATGCAGGGCGGGCAGCTGGCCGCCGCATGGCAACTGTGCTGCGGCACATGCTCGCAGCCGTGGGTGCGCGAACAGGGCCGTTTGCAGGGCGGCCGTTTGGTGCCACACGGCACCGGTGGATATATCACTTCGGCGCCGCACTCACAGTAGAGCTCCTCGAAGCTGCTGCGATAGCAGGGCGGACAATTGCCCCGATGGCAGGGCTGATCGCACTTGTGTTTGCCGCAGCTCAGTGTTCGGTTGCAGGGCAGCGGGCAGGCATGGTCGATGTCGATGCAACATTCCGCGTTGCATTTGTGCTTTCCACAGCTGCGTTTCTTCGTGCAACGGCGCTTGCAGCGTGCATCATCCGCCCGGGTCGATAGCTGGCGGCACTTGATCAGCTGATCCATGTGGCCGCAACGGCATTTGACGGCCGTCTGTTTGGGGCACGGCGGACACTGCCCCAAATGGCATTTGCTGGCGCACTGATGCGGATGCGCCGGCTTGCCACAGCGCAGCGTCTTGCTGCACGCGCCCTCGCACGTCGGCACCGGGTCCAGACAGCTGCTGCGCTGCGTCGGAGGCACTGCCAACTTGCCACAGGGGCAACTGGTGATCTGCTGCGGACTCAGCTTGCAGGGACGACAGGCGCCGGCGTGGCACGAATCCTTGCACTTGTGATTGCCGCAGGGCAACGGCTTGCCGCAGCACTCCTTGCACGAATAGCTGCGCCTATCCTGACTCTCCTTGGTGCAGAGCACCTCGCGCTGCTGCTTGCCACAGTGGCAGTGTTGCTCCACCTGTTCCGCACACGGCTCACATTTGCCCGCATGGCACAACTGCTGGCAACGATGCTCGGCGCAGTTGAGTGGCTTGTCGCAGGTGGCCTCGCACTGCAGTTGCTGCTTCATGGCGCACTGCATCAGCTTGGAAGTGCGTCCGCAGCCACAGCTGCGCAACACGTTCGCCTGGCACGGCGGACACGGGCCCGGATGACAGAGCAGGGTGCACGCATGACTGCAGCCCTCAACGCGACAGCAGAGTTCGCCGCAAGTATGGGCCAGCTCGTTACGTGTGAGCGGCGGATTCTTCAGCTTGCCACAGAAGCAGAGATATTCGCGCGGCAACTCTTGCAGCACATTCTGGCAGGCTGGACAGCGCCAGCCCTCCGCCGACTTGGAACTGCTAGCCCAGGTGATGGTGCACTTGAGATGCAGCACATGATAGCAGTTCTGGCACGACCATGTGCCATGATGCGCCTTGATCTGCTCCACGCACACTAAGCACTCCAGTCGACGTTGCTCGATGTCACGCATCAGCTTCTCCCGCTGCGACAGCTTCTCATTGTCGGGCGCTCGGCGAGGGGAGACTTGGTGTGGCAGTTGCTTCTCGGGCGAGGGCTGCGCACTGTCGTTGCTGTTGCTGGTGTCCAGTTCGTCAGCGGCGCGCGGATAGCCATTGATGCGATCACGATTGCGATTCCAGTCGTCGCGTCTTTTGTTGCTGCGATGATTGTCATAGCGCTGCTGCTTCTGCGGCTTCTTGCCACGTTCATAGCGATCCTCGTGGCGATCTTCGCGATAGTCCTGGCGTCGCTGCTGCTGCCGAGTATTATTGCCGCCAGCCAGCGGCTTCGCCAAGCCTCGTTGAGCATTGCTGCTAGCTGCCTCATGTGGCGTCTGCTGTGTTGTGGCAGTGTTGCTGTTGTTGCTATTATTATTATTATTGCTATTACTGCTGCTGCTGTTGGTTTTGCTCGTCGACAGGCTGAGCTTGGCGAAGTTGGGCACAAATTCGGGTGCCGTCGCCTGCAGCTTGGAAGCGCTAAAATCGAAAGCGGCGCCGGCGGCAGCAGGCGCAGCAAATGGATTATTGCCAAAAGCTGAGTACAAATTGGGACAATTTTGGCCAGCGCCATCGCCATTCTGGTAGCCGAAAATAGGCGCCGCATATTGCTGCAACATGAAGCGTAATTAGAAACAATTCAAATGTAATTAATTTAAATATCCTTGCAGAAATTTGACAGACCAAAATTCTAATATTTTACTTAATAATTTTTTAAATGCCACTATTTTATGGATAGGTTAGATAATTATTTGTATTTTAATTAAATAATTGGAATTGCGTGCAACTCTTGCACAGAATTGTTAAATTTTAAAATATTTATTTAAAAAAAAACTGACACACTTTCACAGTCCCTTTTTCCAAACTGACTTTAAGGAGAACATATTGATATGGACACGTCTGTTCTGACTGATCATTTTCCACTTTAAAAAACTGCAAAGGTATTTAAAAGAAATCATGAGGGGATTCACTTACGCCGACGCCAAAGCTGGAGTTGTTGGCAGCGCTACCGCTGCTGCTGGCGGGCGTGAGGCCAAAGGCACCGCCGCTGCCGACGCCGCCGCTGCTGTAGCCAAGATTGGAGCTGTGTAAATTATGCTGCGTGATGAACTGATTGAAGTTAACATAGTTGTTGTTGTTGTTACTCTGCCCATTGCAGTCAGCGACTGAGGCAGCGATAGAGGCAGCGGCGACTGAGTCATTATGAGCTGCTGCTCCATTTGTTAGCTGCTGTTGCTGCGTTGGCGGCTGCTGCTGCTGCTGTTGTAGCTGCTGTTGTTGTTGCTGCTGTTGCCAATATTCGGCCATGGCAAAGGCTTGATTTGCGCTTTGCTCGGCGTCTGGCAGCGTGTTTCTCTTCCCTTCTCTTCCCTTCTCTTCTCTTCTATCCTCTTCTTTTCGTTTCTTTTCTTTTCTTTTAGCTGTTCCTACCACGCTGGCGAAAAGTTGATCCGATTTGTTTCGTGTGTTTGTTGTGTGTGCGCCTGCAAGTGAATGCGATGTGAATTTTCAGAGATGAATGCGTTAGTCACATTCAATATTTGGATTTCACAATAAATAATAATTACCTGAATTTTGTTAATTTGTCCCCGCTCGAAAATGAAAAAAAACAACAACTGCACGGCACACTTAGCGCGTGTGTGCGAATGTGACGGCTATATGTGTGGTGTGAGTGTTGCTGACGTGCAATGTTAACTTTCACAGGTATTATCACGCAAGTAACGAGTCATCCTCTGTTAAGTGTGGAGTAAGTCTATTTACCTTGGCGAGTGAGATATATGAATTGGTGGAGTGGGCCGCTAGCGTGGTTAGCTCTCTGTTATGGGCTGTTAACAGAGTCAAATTCTATTAGTCTTGCATATTAAACTATGTGGTAAGCGTTTTATCGATGGGTTATGTGCCTATCGATATTTTCAATAGAACAATGTAATACAGCCATGTGCGCGCTTTTTGAATAAATGCAAATGTAATTGGATTAACATTTTTATTGTATTCTGATTAATTAAATATCCTTCGTATACAGATAGATGGCGACAATCATGCCATATAGGCCCAGCACCTCCGCAAATATAAGAATGAGAATCATGCCGATAAACAGTCGGGGCTGCTGAGCCGTATTTCGAACTCCGACGTCGCCCACAATGCCGATCGCATAGCCGGATGCCAATCCACAAAAACCCACCGACAATCCGGCCGCTAGATGCACATATCCCTTGATCACCGAGTACGTCTCGGCCGAGTCCAAAATGCCAGCGATTAGCACCGACACAACCAGTCCGTAAATGGCAATGATGCCCGCCATGACAACGGGTATAATCGACTTCATGATGAGCTCCGGGCGCATCACGGCAGTTGCGGCTATCCCAGTACCGGAGACAGCCGTTCCATAAGCGGCGCCAATCGAAGAGAACACTATAGAGGCGACCACGCCCATAACACCGTAGAATGGGCCGTATGCTGGAAAATAGATGAGCTCATTGATTTCATTCTTCAGCGAGTCCTTTCCGGTCTTCTCAACTGTCATTGCATTTGCTATTATTATTATTTTATTAGATCTTTTTTTTTCGTAAATATGTTTCTTTTATTTAACTTAAATCACATACAAATGCAAAGATAACTTTATATTTATAGACTACATTTCCAATTTATGTACAGGGTGTGCTACGTTTTCGATAAATCTGATTGAAACATGATATATATATATATATTTATTATTATTTTAAATCACAAAATTATATACTAACAAACAAAGTTGATTCTAATAACCAAAATGCAAATCTTGTTTCAAGAATTATTCAGTTTTTATATGGAACGGAAAATCTTAATTAAGAATATGAGTTTGAAAATGTAGATGGAAAATCGTGGATTAAGAATATTAATTTTTAATTTTAAATATTTTTAAAACATCTGAATAACAATTTTAAATAAACAGAGTAAACGGACTCAATATAATAATATATTCTTAGCTTAAGATCTTAGTTAACGTCTTCACTTTGAATAAGTTGTCTATAAAAATATGTGTTTGATTTAAAGTAGCTGTTGGGTTAATTCTAGTACATCATTTAATACTCATGCTTGGACATGCACCTCACTCCTCTGTAATCCCCGTAAGGTTAATCTCTGGCAGATCTCCCATTCAGATCGCTTGGAATGTTCTCAAATTGCTGAGGAGCGTTTGCTGGGCCGGCGGAAAAGTGATTGCGGCTGCAACAGGAGCAAATGTTGCCGGTGGCATAACAAAACTTGCAGCTGTTGGCAACGCCAGCGATTGTTGCTGCTGTTGTGGTTGCTGCAGCTGCTGCTGCTTGTGTGGCATCGGGAATGGCTGAGCGCCGTCTAGCGGTCGGTATTGGCACTTCTTGGCATGGGTGCGCATATTGCTGGACTGGGTAAAGGCCTGATTGCAATTGGGATGTGGACAGACGTACGGCTTGCAGCCAGTGTGATAATTGAGATGAGTCTTCAGGTGATGCTTCTTGGTGAATGCCTTGGGGCACAGCGGGCAGCTAAATGGCTTAATGCCCGAGTGCAGCCGATGATGGAGCGTCATATTGCTGCGATCCGCAAAGGACTTGCCACAAACGGAGCACTGATACGGCTTCTCGCCGCTGTGCGTGCGCATGTGCTGCTTAAGCAGCATCTTGCGGGAGAATCGCTTGCCGCATTCGGCACACTTGTGCGGCTTGACGCCCGTGTGGATGCGTACGTGCATGTTGAAGGCGACACGCTGATTGAAGGACTTCGGACAGTAGGGACACTCGTACTCCTTTCGGTTGCGATGGATCTTCATGTGGCTGCTCAGATAGCCCTTATCGTTGAAGGTCTTGCCGCACTCCGGACACTCGGCAGCAAACTCCTTCGTGCCACGATGCACAGACAGATGATATTTATAGTTGCGCAGTTGCGAGAATCCTTTGCCACAATCCGAGCACTCGTAGCGCGGCGATTTGTGCGTCTTCTCGTGCGCCTGCAAGGACATAGGGAAAGACGAAAGGAAAGCGATATTTATATTTATATTTATATGGATATTTTCATAATGATGCAAGCCTAAGTTTATTATCTAAGGGATTTCTTAGCTTAATTAAATAAGAGATAATTATAAAATGTACATATCTTAATTACAATATTCTCATTGGTTTCATAGGTTATTAAATGTAAGATTCCTAATATTACCGATTATTAAGTATTACTTCAAAATTTAATATTCGTATTATGCTTTATTATTGCATTTTTTCTAAATCCAATGTTATTTATTACTATTTTTCAATTGTTATAAACTTAATTATTTCAAATTTTATCTTTTCTTTTTATTGTTTTCATTTACGTATTTTAATTCAGCAGAGCTTTTAATTTGCAGCTTCCAATAGATACAGTATCTGATTACCGATCCAAACAGCCTTATGAAGATAATATTGTCTACTCTTCTGGCTAAGTGGAAGAAAGAGATGAAAACTGTGACTGCCTATTGGCTGGCGGCCATTTTGTACAGCCGCGCTCTCAACTGCGCTCTCTTTCTAATGCTACACTTGTGTGTGTGTTTGTGTTCGTGTTGCTCTCTGTGGCTGGCAGCCTGCACCCATGCGTAAAACCAGTTCTCATCTCGCTTCTGTTTTGGGCGCCACCATTTTTAACGATCTTCAGCTACCTTCGGCTACCTTATCAGCATTTGCATAAGCAGCTAAGCCCCCTTCTCTCTCTTTCCGTCTCTCTCTCTCTCTCTCTCTCTCTCTCTCTTTGCCTCATTCTGTCTCTTAAGAGTTTATGTGACTCAAGCTCCGCCTGTTTACTTTGGACTCCGCCCATAAAATGCCTTGCTTTGGACCACAATAAAAACATGTTTGCATTGAAACTTGTTAAATATATTTGAAATAAAAAGCTGCCTTTTGCCGATTATCGAGTGCCTTTGACTATATGTATCATATTTATTGTCATTGAAGGCACTATAAGGGTCGAATTACCTTACTGAGAGTTAAATACTTCATGTATTTAAATAGTAATTGTTATGTTATGTTAACTAAATATATTGTTAAACGATTTTGAGCAACTTTCATTTATTTTTTTAAGTCATTGTGTTCGGCTAAAAATTTATAAGTGAGCGGTTTTTTCTTATGTTTTTTTCTGTGCAAATCTGATATAGAAAATTTTTTAAATATTTTTAATAAAATTTGAATAATTCAAGCGTATTTGTGTAGATCAGTTTGAAGAGTATTTTCAAGATGCTCTACTCAATTAAATCACAATGAATTTGAGGTATTTCCAATTTAATTTCTTATGAGTTTGTTAACTCATGTATCTGAATGAACTTTCTGATCTTAATTGAGTGATTTGTCAACTACAAACATATTTTAGTCATTGGTCAGGACGACTAGATCAATTTGTTCATTATTCTCTGTTTGTAGACCAACAAATCTTTTACTTTTGAAGCTTTCGTTACAATAATGTAGGCTTATTTACAGCCTATGCTACCAATTTAATAATAAATAAGAAACCAAAACAGACTGAAATATATAATAATAAAATAATATATCATATAGCTTCCATTTTAACAATCAGTCTGCTTATATCATATATCATTTTCTTATCTTCGTATCATATTAAATTGTGATTTGTAAATTTCTTTCTTCTCTTTTGGTGTCCTTTGGTCTACAATTTAAGGATCTAAATTCATATGTATAGATGACTTTTTGTATTTCTCAATTCTAACCATATAATTATATAACATAGAAAGTCCGTTAGGTCTTTGGGATATCTCATCTGAAGTTAAGTCTTATACATCCGATTTTCTTACACCTTTCCCCTAAAAGATGGAGAAGGACCCCTTACGCTGCACCCTTGTCTGCAGATATCTATTCCATCTCTCGATCACACCTGAAGTGCTTCACTTGCCAACACCTTTCAACTCAACGCCTTTCAACTCACCTGCAGTGTTTCGGAGCATCCAAAGACCTTGTCGCAGATGTGACACTTGTAGCTGATCTCCTCAGCCGTCGTTGTGTTGTTGTTGTTGTTGGCAACTAAATTGGGTAGTGCTGGTGTTGTTGTTGCTGATGTCATTGTTGTTGTTGCTGTCGTGCTCAGATTCAGATTGGTCACCGTGGTGAATGAGATGTTGGTGGTGCTGCTGTCTGCCCGGCCGAGCCTCGAACTGCTCGCACTGCTGACCGAAGAAGCCGCCGGCGAAATCAATGGCGTCGGCTTGTAGCCCGCTCCAAATTGCCTATAGTAGTCCAGGCATTCCACGCAATCCGCACGGGTGCAGACACTGGGTGCACTCGGTTTGGCCCGTGTCGAACTTTGTCCGTTGATCACATAGGGGGCAAAGTAACGCTTCTGCTGCTGATGGTGATGCTGCTGGTGTTGCTGCTGCTGTTGGTGTTGCTGATAGGGCGATGTGGGTGGCGTTGTGAAGCCGGCGGCAGCTGCTGCTGCCGCATAGGCAGGCAGCAAGTGTGGAAAGAACTGTGCATAGAATTTGGTTGCACTGGCCATGGCCAGCAAATCCGGTGGCAACATGGCATAGCCATAGCTTGCCGTTGCATTTTGAAAGGACTGCACTGCCTGAGGCTGCTGTTGACTGCTCTTCGAGAGATCGAGAATGTTGCCAGCTGCAGCACTCGCTGCTGTCTTCTTCTTCGCTGGAGTATCCTTGCCAACGTTGCCAAGGATGCGGCTGATGCTAAAATCCGTAACTTGCTGAGGCGCCTCTGCTGGGGCAGGAGATGCGGCGAGATCGTAGCTGCGTTGCAGCATCGCATGCTTAAAGCCCATGCCACTGCTGCTTCTTCTTCGTGCTGTTGTTGTGGTGTGCGTTGCGGGTGCGTTGCTCATAGACCTAACTGTTGTTTGTGTGGACAACTGTCGCGTTGCGCGTCGAAACACGAAATGTGAGCCAACAAGTGCTGCCAACGGCCCACAACGTCTTTCGGCCAACAGTTTAGCTACAGCATTTAATTGGTCAAGAAACGGGTTTTTTTCGAGCTGCGATCTCAGCACTTCTCTCTCTCTCTCTTTCTCTCTCGTGAGAGAGACTCTTGCTCGCTCTCTGCAGGGATGCGGAGCCAATTAAGCCGCCCTGGCTGTCAGAGTCGCGCCTCCAATTACGAGCGAACCTGCTGGCCAGGAGAACTATTTGGTAGTAGTAGCATTTAACTAGTCACATCTATCATAACGTTTATCAGCAAACATCTTGGCTCATTCTCTCTTCCCATCTCTCTCTCTCTCTCGCTCTCTCTGCCCCGACTGTCTTTCTCTCTGAGTGTATCTTGCTCTAACTCAGATTCCAGCAACTTGGGGAGATTTCTTTGTGTGCGTTGTTTTTGTAATTAATTGCGGTAATAAAATGTGCGCATCGTTAAATTTTCAAAATGTATTTCTTCTTTTATTCTTCAAGCTGTTGTTGTTGTTCGTTGTTTGTTGTTTGTTGTTATTGTGTTGGGCATGTGTGAATCTTACGCTTAAGCACATCCATATCACCTGGACCCCCTTAAAGGCGCTTGCCTGTAGCTCAGCTCATTATGGGCTTGTTAAGGGAGTGAGAGAGTAGGGAAGCAGGGAATGGGAGGAGGTAGAGGCACAGAGAACTAGGCAACAATGACATAATCAGTTGTCCAGGCTTATGTAATGGCCCCAGCAGGAGCTACTGTGCGTGGCAGTTCAGGTTAGACTAATCGTAACTAAGATTTGAAATTTATAGTTTTGGATAGACTGTAGAATGTTACCTCAAGAATTTCCTAGATGTTTGGTTTGGTTAGCTTCGACGATTGTTGGCCAATAAAGTCAGCTCACTTAGGCCAGAACTGAACTAATTCATTTACCTAACTCTAGGTGCAAAACAACGAGATTCAAATTGATTCCAACCCGAAGCTTTAATAAATTTCTCATAATCCTAGATTTGATAGATTGGCTAGAAAGGATCTTCCCAGGGTACTTAATCTCTTACAGGCTAGTGCTCGTCAGAAGCAGAAGAAGTATTCCGGAGAGTCTTCTTCATCCATCTATTTGCAACTTCTGCCGAAATCATGAATAGATGAATAATAATATAAAAATAAGAAGGAACTCGTTTATTATCAAAGTTCAGATTTTTCTTTATAATTTAATGAAATTCAGAATATATGTATATATTCAACATGACCGTTATCGGACTGATCTTGCTATGGAATAAAAGATAATTTTTCTGAACCAACTACTTGAGAATTAATTGTCACATTTTCACCTTGCTTTTGTTTAAGTCCGGCAACTATTTAGGCAACTGTTGCAAGTTACTCAACAGGCTGCAGTCCATATATATAATATATATATATATATATACATATATCCAGCTTAGCATCGGTCTGCATAGCATCAGTAGCGCCCATAAAAATTTGCAAAACAAAACGCCCAACTTGATTTGTATGAAACGAAAGGCACATAAATCTTAAGGACATACAAACAAAATTCAAGGAACCGCTCGATATATTTGTATGTATAAATGTAAATGAAGTGGTGTACATTTACAGCGAGAGAGAGAGAGAGGGTGAGAGAGAGCGAGGAAGAGCAGCCAATTGCAGAGCATCCAATTAGAGTAGAGCTAGCAGGTCTTCCATCGAATGGAAGCAGATCTCGTACACGATTTGTCTGGGCTCACTTACAAAGCGATCCAAATCGGTGACCAACGGTGGCAGTTGAACGTTAACCGATCTGAGGCGATCCTAGACTGATGGATGGGATTGTGCTGTCGACAAGCGTGAGTGAGTGCCCTGATCTGCATAAATTATAATTATCTAAACGAAAACTATGTGCTTCCACGCGAGAGGCGAGTGCAGAGAATGAAACGAAAACTTGTTCATTTATTTCGTGGAATTCCGCACACACAATGATGATCATTTACATATGCGAGCGAAAGAAACTTTAAATTTTAATTACACTCACTAAATCATCGAGACGACCCAAGCCAAGGTTCTCCAGTTGTTGTATTTTTTGGTCGCATGACTAATGTTTATTAGCTGCTAATGGTTTGTTTTACAAAAGCTACGTGGCTCGTTCCGAGCCTGAAGCCGGCCGAGCCTGGAGTATGGAGTATGGAGGATGGAGTCTGGAGTCGCCCCAACACACACAGAGACAAGACAACAAACTGTTTCACCCGTTGACATTTTGACAAATTCCCAGCTGCTCACTACCGTCATTTCGGGGGGGTTAACGGAAAGGGGAGGGTTGCCTCAAACGGGGCTCCAATGTAAGCTGATACCTATCTCAGATGCTTATTTCTTTTCGTGTGTGCGAGTGTGCGTGCGAGTGTGTGTGTGAGTGTGTGTGTGTCTGCCTTACTGCCATCATCCTTCTCGCTCGCTCTCTCCTTGTTCTTTATGCTGTTCTGCGTTCACACTATTAATTTTCCGCTCGTTTTTCGCCTCACCTGTGTTGTTGGGTTTGATGTGGTCATTGTCATCGCTGCTGCTGCTGCTGCTCCTCCTCTTCTTCTTGCTGTTGCTGTTGTTTTTGTTGTTGTAGATCCATGGGGTGGTCGGCATTTATCAGATTTTGTGTGCGCTTAAACTCTTTTCACTTTGTTTGAACCTTTAATGTGATGTGTTATCGGTTAATGATCAGCCGTTGCCAAGTGATTTTATGTCAGCGGGTGATCACCGATCACCCATTCGCTTGTATTGTTCTTCTTTTGTTCTCTGTCTCTCTCTCTCTCTCTTCCTCTCCCTCTCTCTCGCTGTCTTTTGGATTTTAATGTGTAGCTTGACAAATGTGCTGATTTGCGAAAAGGCTTTTGAACGTGGTTGCCTTTAATTTAATGGGCAGCTTTCAGCATTAACCAGAATACCTTGACGATTATTATGCAAAGAAAGCCCGAAAGAAATATAAGGCTATTATATTTACACTATTCATAAAATCACATATTCCGACCTTAGAGATTGGTTTTAAACAGAACTCTATTATTCTCACATATATTTCGATATAATTTTAAAAATAACGAAACAACTTGCATTGCAATGTAATACAAAGAAGTCTGAACAATTTTAAAAATAACATCTAATCATTTTAAGATATATTTCACATGAATATTATATTTTATTTTTCTATTTCCTGGAAAAAAAAACGATCTTTTAATAATATGTCTTTACTTAAAGACAATATTTAATCTTTACGCTGTGTTTAGTGTCAGCTGTGTGATAGATGCGATCTTCATTTAAAAGATTTCGATTAAAAGATCTTAATTTAGTTTACTCTTCCAGCGGAGAACTTCAAATGGCTGCCACTTTCCCAAAACGGTAAAGTGGCATTCCTTAAAACCCATGCAAATTCCCCAAACGCCCACAACAGGCAAACAGATTTCTATGTTGTTGTCAACACTGCCATAAAACATAAAAATAATCAAAACATACATCACCCTGCAAGTTCGAAGTGTATCTGGCAATGCGTGCGGAACCATTTAGGAGGTGTTATACTATTGTGTGTGACGTATAATTTATACACATCTAAAAGAAAAAATACAGACAAAGACACGTGAACATTAACATACCGACCAAACAAAGCGATATTCATAAATTATATGGATTTATATATATATATACAGTTTCAACTATATATAGGTGTGTGTATAGTATGCTCGGCGAGTCATGTTGTAGATCACAATCATTTCAATTAATTCGAATATAAAATACGAAAATACGCTCGAAATGAGGCAGACGGACGGCTTCGCAAAATCAACGGAGTGCTCAAATATATCAAATTTCAATATAAATGAGCCACAAGCATAAATCAAGAGGAACCTCCCAAAGACAGAAACGATCCACGTTCCGACCGAACGAAAGTGTATAAAAACACACACGCACAACGCACTGAAATGGACCGAACACCAAACACAGAAACCGACCCGTCTAAACTAAATTTTAATGCGTCCTAAAAGCAACACCCAACATTTAACGATCTGACGAATAGCTGTCAATTCTTCCACTACTTCATGCCACGCAACCTGCCTTCCCTTCAACACTCAACACGCTCGCCAAGCAACTTTCTTTGCCTGTAAAATGTGATTTATTTTATTTTTACAATTCCACCAAAAAAAAAAACAAAAATAAATAATACTAACATTAATTCGACGTTAATTATGCTAATGAAAACACATTTAGAATGCAAGAATTAAAATCAAATTTTTCAATTTAAATTCGATCGCATCGCATGGACCATTTTTATCGAAAAACACATTTCATTGGAATCGCGAGCGACACACTGAACACATGCGAGTGCAAGAGAGCTGGCATGCGAGTTAGGATCTTGTTTGCTTATTGAGAAATTTAATGGAGCGCCCCATAAATCCCCCACATACAATGTATGTTAAGATGTCGACAAACGTATGCAAGGTTTTTAGTATTCCAGTTGTGATTGTTGTTGTTGTTGTTGGTGCTCTTGTTGCTTGTGCGCCAGAAAATGAGCGATTAACTACAAATTTTTATTTACATAAAACCTCATGCAGCACTGGAAAAAATCGTAGTTTCTGACAAAAGTTTGTAAATATTAAGTGAGTTGCAATTTTAGATTGTAAACGTAATTTCTGAGCACAACTATAAAGTCTTAGTCACATAATATTTCTCTTAAGTCACATCTGACCTACAAAATGTATACCTCTGTCTAAACCCGACGAGGAAACTAGCTAAAATTATATATAATTAATTTATAAAATAATCGTAGCTTTAGAATTAATTAATGAAATGGGAAAGAACAGCCTTAGGATACTTAGCGGTCTATCGACAGGACACTGTACACTAAGAAGTCACCTAACTAAACTAGGTACATATAGTAGCGATCTGTGCAGGTTTTGTGAAAGAGAGGAGGAATCCTCG